AGCAATGTTTGTGATTTAATTGCCGTCCAAATTAAAATGTGTCGACCTTGTACCCAGAATACGAAGAATTTCCTTTGATATGCCACTAATTCGATTCATTTGGCACGACAATATTGTAACAGATGTGAGGTTCGTTATGGATAGAATTTTTTATGGAAAAAAAGGTGGCCCGCATATGTCACAGAATATAGCGTAATTGCTGAATTAAGTCGTTGGAGTGGAATCGAAACGAAAAAACTCGACATTTCCGCGTTTAGTTTATGATTTTCTGCGATTAAAATTACTTTCGCGTGAATTTTTATGGTGCGGTAAACGCTGGAGGCGCATGACTTGGTTAACTGGTTGCTTGCTCTGTGACTCACGATGTGCTGTCAATGTATGCGGTATTTTTAGGCTTTTTTTGTTGTTTGTGGTGAGTAACGTGGGTCGGATCGGAGCAGGCCGATTGAACCTCCCATTGGAACGATTAGCCGAAAAGTATAAGAAAAAGGGTTATAAAATATTAACGTAGTTACTTAAATTGTGCTTAACCCTCACTAATTGCAGCGAGGATACGAGCTTGTGGGCGATTTGAAGGTTACCCGCACTAGTCCGGTCTCTGAATATTTATCCGCTAAGAATTATCTAAGTAATATTTTTAAAGATTTATTTGAGCTGTATCAAATTTTAGATTATCAGTACATGCTTAATTTCGATTATTTATGTTTATAAGTACATCGAGAGAATGCCAGGATTAAGCACGTAGCAATTAGCCTTTTTTGAATGGTTTTATCTTTTCGAAGCAGAGAACGGGATTAAAATTATTAATTGAGCTACAATGGAGCAAAATGTTTTGAATATTACTGTTTTAATTCTTATTTTATTGCATTTTAGAGGAAAAAAAATGAGCGACAAAACTTTTTTAAAAAATTGTTTGACGGTTATTTCGAGAGAACTTCCCTCATCCCTGAAGTGCAGCCCAACAAATTCCGGTCCTTTGATAAATTACAAAAAATGCCTAGGCATCGAACAACCGAAAAACGAACATCGAGAAATGAAAAAATTTTAAAAATGGAAAATTGAAAACAATGGGTTTTAAAAAATTCCCAAAATTGAAAGTCGAAAATTGAAATATGTAGATACGCACAAAAAAATTTAAAATCGGGAATTCGAAACATCAAAAAATCGTAAAAGTGAAAAATGGAAAAATCGTTGATTTAAATTTTTAAAAATCGCAAAAATCAAAAAAATAGAAATCGAGAAACCGAAAATCCGGTAACTGAAAAATTGCAAAACTGAAATATCGAAATTGAAAAATTGAAATATCTAGAAATCGAAACATCAAAAGATTGAGAAATCGAAAGGGGCGGAGCTTAATTGTAAAATCCATATTTCTTTACAAAAAATTACCATTTTAAACGTGTTTTAAGTTTTTAAGAATTTAAAAAAAAAATCATCACAATTGGGATGGGGTGGGTGGGCGGGGTTTATATTTTGCCTTACATACAGTATTCTTATTCGTTCAACAACACGATACCCAAAAACATGTTTTCAAATTCTTGTAAAGAAATTGGTATTTTGCAGTTAAGCGCCGCCCCCTTTGTTCACGGCGAAAAAAAAATCATCACAATTGAGATTGGGCGGGTGGGCGGGCTTACTTTTTGCCTTTTTATTTTCATATATGTAGACTTTTTTCACAACATGAACCTTAAAACATGTTTAAAATGGAAAATTTGTATAAGGAAATACCAATTTGGAATTAGGCACCGCCCCATAATTGCAAAATCCATATTTCCATGCAAAAATGTACCATTTTAACCATGTTCTAAGTTTCTTTTTGTGAAAAGATGGCTATGTATATTAAGAAAAAAAGGCAAAATATAAGCCCACCCTCCCTATCTCAATTCTGATGTTTTTTTTATTCGTCGTAAGCATAGGGGCGGAACTTAATTGTTAAATCCTTATTTTTTACGAGTAATTATCATGTGAAAAAGCCCCACCCATCCGTCTCGATCTCAGTCGTGATGAATTTTTCATTCGTTGTCAGACCGAGGGGCGGAGCGTAATTGCAAAATGGATGTTGAAGTATACAAATTTACCATTTTAAAAATGTTTTAAGTTTCTTGTTGTGAAAAGATGACTACACATATTAAGAAAAAAAGGAAAGATGTAAGCCCCGCCCACCCGCCCTATCTCGAATGTGATAATTTTTTTTATTCGTCGTGAGCCAAGAAAATCAAAAACTACAGATCCTTTATAAGCTTACTTTTTGTATTCCTATATGTTCTTTAAATTCATTGAATTTTGCTTAAAAGTTGAGAATTTAAAGGATATCAATTTTTCGATGTGTATGTCATAATTTTTAATTTTTCCAAATTTTTTCCTCCATCGAGAACTCCTCTATTTTGGACTAAAATTACAGAATATTCACATTTTTTGTGTAGAAAAATACGGATTTTGCAATTAAGCTCCGCCTTCCCAGACTAACGACCAACAAAGAAAAATCGTCACAATTGAGATAGGGTGGGTGGGCGGGGTTTACATGTTTCCTTTTTTTCTTAATATGTGTAGTCATCTTTTCACAACAAGAAACTGAAAACATATTTAAAGTGGTGAATTTTATCCCACATACTTCTCTACAAATTCACCCTTTTAAACATTTTTTTCAGTTTCTTGTCATGAAAAAAAAACTACCTACATATGTTAAGGAAAAAAGTCAAAATACAGTGTTTTTCAGTAATGTTGTTGAAAGAAACTATATATGTTAAGACAAAAAAAAGTTAAAAATAAACCCCGCCCACCCGCCCCTGTCCCAATTGTGATGAATTTTTCATTCGTTGTCAGACCGAGGGGCGGAGCTTGATTGTAAAATCGAGGCTTCCCGAAAAATTTGAAATTAAAACATTTAGCTTCAAAACTCGATAAATGGAAAAATTAAATAATCGATACATCGAAATCTCGATAAATTGGAAAATCGGAAAACTGAAAATTGAAAAATTTAAAAACGGAAAAATTAAAAATCCTAAAAACAAAAATTGGGAAATCAAAAATTCAAAAAATCAAAGAATCGCTTAATAGAGCCAAGGAAAAATCGAAAATTTCGAAACGCCAAAAATTGAAAAATCGAAAAATTTGAAGAATCGAAAAATCGTTAAATTGAAATATCGGAAAATCGAGAAATCGAAAGATTAAAAAAGTGAAAAATCTAACATTTAAAAATTGGAAAAGTTGAAAATTGAAAACTGAAGTGTTAAAAACCAAAAAATGAAAATATCGAAAAATTGAATCGAGAAATCAAAATATGTATCAACAAATCGAAAAGTAAAAAAATCAAAGAATCGCTTAATAGAGAAATTTAAAAAATTGGAGAATCGATAAATTGAAAAATCTTCAAACGAAAATGTCGAAAAATTGAAAAACCGACAAATTTAAAAGCGAGAAGAATTCGAAAAATTGAAAATTAAAAACCGAAGTACTAAAAAAACGAAAAATTAAAATGTCGATGAACTGAAGAATTGAAAAATTCAATCAAGAAATCAAAACAAAAAATTGAGAAATCAAAAATTCGAAAAAACCGAAAAACTAAAATGACGAAAAATTGAATCGAGAAATGGAAAAATCGGAATATTGAAAAATCCCAAAATTGAAAAATGCTAAAAATGAAAAAGTCGAAAAATCAAAGAACCGGAATATTGTTATTCAGTTTTGATTTTTTTTCCAAAAATTTGGGATGTCTATGGTGAGAATTCGACACGGATTCACACCCTACAAGTGTACGAGTATCTTATTTTATCAAATTAAAAAACACTTTGTATTATAAATTTTGGGAGCCAGTCGTCCAATGGACCCGGTTACAATACTCCTTGGTTTACGTTCAGGAAGTAAAAGTCAAGGCGGATTCATAAACCACAAGTATAGGAGTACGTGATTTCATAAAATTTAAATGGTGTTTACCAAAGGGAATTTAAGGTGACTTCCTACATTGTTGGTGGGGATCATTGGCCAAATTTTGGTTAGAGTTTTACTTCCTACACGATATTCCTAACATTAAAATGACAATAACAAGTCAACATAGGAATTATTTTATTAATTTTGATTTATACAGTGCGGTACTAACAGAGCTCTCAAAATTTAAGAGAAGTTTAAAACTCATTTTGAGATAATCCTGAATGGACGTGGGTAAGTTGCGCACCGCGGTCAAAAAAAAATCTGCAGATGACGCTAATCCTACAGGTCAGTTGCGCGCTGCGGTCAGAAATATTCGCATAATAGTTTAATTGAAATTTACTTAGTAATGTCGTGACCATGACGTCGTTTAAATATTTTTTTCGGGGACGACCGTCATTTTTTTAATTCCATAAAAAATCGTGATACACTACATTATGATACCTCATTTCCTGATAAACGGAAGAAAGTCGGTAATTGTATCTTTGCAGGAGTAAGATGAAAATAAAGTTTTCTGCGTGGTCAGTATTTCTAAAGTTGCGATTACGGCAGTCTGATGTACGTCGAATATACCTCGTCAACAGTATATTTTTAGCAACCTTTTTAAAAGCACTTGCTTCTTTATCCATCGCCGATCAACGTGAAATATATTGTGGTGGAACTCCTCATTAGAAACGTAATATTTATTATTATTATTATTATTATTAATATTCCAACTAATTGGTTGTATTGTTGTAATTTGTGTTATTTTCGTATTGTTATTTAACTAAAAATATTTGTATACAATTAATATCTATTGATAACCCAGTAACACAATTCAAGGTCCTATCTGATTTGCAGATAATGTTATCACGGTGATTAATGGATGTTAGTTTACAATTCAAATGCGCGTCTCAGTCATTAAGCCCTTTTATGGGCTTAAACTATGACAACATATCCCACCAAGATTGTCTGTCGTTTTTAAAATGATGAAAATATCGTTAATGAAAATGCAAAATAGCGGCGGTTTCAAAACGGACCCTTGCAACACGCCACATTTAACTTGATTTAATCGTCGTTCGTTCCTTCTTTTGCAGACAGAAGCGCTCGTTATGGAAATACGCCACGCAGCGCGCCGCCATCGCCAGCCGGTGGACGTGGCTGCAGGCCCAGATCTCCGACCTGGAGTACCGGATACGTCAGCACAGCGAGATCCAGCGCCAGATCCGCGCGTCGAAGGGCGAGATCCAGCTGGGGGGAGCGAGTCCGCCGCCCCCGCCGTCCGCCGTCAACAACAACAACAACAGCACGACGGCGTCGTCGACGTCGCCGACGGCCGTCAACGGGTACCGCGGCCAGCTACCGGGCAGCTCGCCGATCTCGTCGAAGGCGTGCGACGGAGGCGGCGGCACGTCGACGACGGCGAACGGCGCCTATCCGGACTACCAGTGCGCCAGGACGCGGCCGCTCGTCAACCTGAAGAAGCGGAAGCTGCTGCAGCTGAACGGGCTCCACGTGATCTCGAAGAAGGCGGCGAGGCCGAGCTCGGTGCGGTGCGGGTGCCAGAGGACGTCGGCGCCGTGCGCGGTGTGCACGGGACGGACGGACCCGACGCACCCGAGGGACCCGACGGACGCGCTCAGCAAGGCGGAGAGGATAGCGTTGGTGGATCCGGCGTTCCATCCGGTGTTCTCGATGCCAGAAGGTAAATTATTAGGGCGAAATTGGGCTTGGAATAATGACGTTCGAAATTGTGTTGCCTTGTAAATAGAGTATAATTAGAAAGGGTCATCGTTTGAGTCGGGTTGATTTGGGTCGTTACTATGGAACTTGTAGCGATTTTCGTATTATTATATCGAGGACACACAATCTTTTTCTACGACCGTCACAGACTAAACAACAGATGTGCACTTTTTTAACACTTGATACCATAAAAAAAAAATTAGTGAAACGAAATGCCGGTGTTTTAATAGGATTTTCGTCTTTTCTCGACGTTTCAGGGGTCCTAGAATATGACAAAATATGTCTTCCGTTTCCGGCTGTCTGTCGTCTGTCGGCGATTTTATTAGACAAATCTCCGAAACCACTATCAAATAAATAACTAAAATTAGGTCGTAAAAAAGCGGGTCTAAGGTTATTTACACATAACTTTCCTCGCCCCTAATGGATGCTTTATTTCGTAATCTCGACGTTTGATTATTTTAATTAAGATTATAAAATGTTATAAAATTTTTATTTTTTGCGAAAGTGTGTATAAGCCTGGTATAAAAATCAAGGTGAATTCATAAACCACGAGTACAAGAGTATGTAATTTTATAATATTTGAATGTGATTTATCATCCCAGTGGTTTCTCAGATTATCATCTCATTGGACGGATGGACACTATTATGACTTACGCTCGGGAATTAAAAATTTTTGAATAGTGTTTAAAGTGTACAAACTTATATGCTTTATCAATAATTATTATATAGTGGGGATTCTGGTCTACTTGACATGTTTAAAATGCGAGCGCAGTGAGCATGTGCAGATGCTATTAAAAATAATTCATTTTTGTCCCTGAGAAGCTTAATTATTAACGACAATTAATTTAATGAAAAATTGCAATTTTTTGGGACTTGAAAAATTCATTTCAGTCCCAAAATCTTACTTCTAGGCCAAAAACACGTTATATTTTTGGAGTCAGCACGTCGAACTTTATCCTAGATTTTTTTGTAGATTTGTAGGCAACTTTTCCAAAATCTCGATTTTCAGTTTGAAATTTTTTGACTTTTTTTTAGCATTTTCGAAAATCACCTAAAATGATGTTTTTTGTGTATGCCGACTTTTAGAAGTCATTTTGGGCTCCAGTCCTTAAAAATTGCTACCACTTCCAGAATCACCAAATGGAGTACATATGGCAATGAATTTTTGAAAGATTCGAATTTGCGACTGAATGTTTCTAAAATCTTAAGATATTTTGGAATCAACGTGTCGAAATCTATATCAAAGAATTTTTTGTGGATTTTTAGACGAGTGTTCCAAAATCTCTTTTTTCGATATGAAATTTTTGACTTTTTTTACTATTTTCGAAAATTACCAAAATTGATTTTTTTGTAGATGACGACCTTTAAAAGTTTCAGCTTCAGTTCTTTCAAAATTCCCACCGCTTTGTGAATCGCCAAATGAAAAATATGGCAATTTTTAGAATTTTTTAAAGATTCGAATTTGCGACTGAATGTTTCGAAAATCTTAAGATATTTTTGGAATCAACATGTCGAGATCTTTATCACAGAATTTTTTGTGGATTTTTAGACGAGTGTACCAAAATCTCAATTTTTCAATATGAAATTTTTGACTTTTTTTACTATTTTCGAAAATTACCAAAAGGGATTTTTTGTAGATGAAGACTTTTAAAAGTTTGAAAATCATTTTCAGCTTCTGTTCTTTCAAAATTCCCACCGCTTTCTGAATCGCCAAATGAAAAATATGGCAATTTTTAGTATTTTTGAAAAATTTGAATTTGAGACCGAATCTTTCGAAAATTTTACTCTTAGATCAAAAACACTTTATATTTTAAAAATCAATACGTCGAGTTCTATATCCCAGAATTTTTTTGTGGACTTTTAGACAAATTTTCCAAAATCACTATTTTTCAATATGAAATTTTCGACCGGTTTTTTTTACCATTTTCGAAAATTACCTAAAAGATTTTTTTTCGAAACGTCGTTACTAGAAGTCATTTTCGGGTTCAGTTCTTTAAAAATTTCCACCATTTCCTGAATCGTCAAATGAAAAATGCATTAATTTTTAGAATTTTTGGAAAATTCGAATTTGAAACTGAATCTGTCAAAAATTTTATTCTTAGACCAAAAACACTTTATACTTTGGAATCAACAGATCAAGATCTTTGAAATTTTTGTGGATTTTTAAACAAGTTTTCGAAAATCTCGATTTTTGAATATAGCTATTTTCGAAAATAACTTAAAGGAAATGTTTTGAAGGGTCCTACCTTTTTAAATAATTTTAGGCTTCAGTTCTTTAAAAATTTCCACCACTTCCAGAAAGACCAAATGAAATACATATGACAATTCTTGGAATTTTTGAAAAATTCAAATTTGGGACCGAATATTTCCAAAAATCTTGATCCGAGAAAGCACGTGATATTTTTAGAATCAGCACGTCGAGATCTATGTCCCGTATTTTTTGTGGATTTTTAGACAACTTTTCCAAAATCCCTATTTTTCAATATGAACTTTTGGTCCGGTTTTTTTTTTGGGCATTTTCAAAAATTCCTAAAAGAGATTATTTTTGTAGATGCCGTCTCTAGAGGTCATTTTCAGCTTCAGTTCTTTGAAAATTCTCACTACTTTCAGAATCGCCAAATGAAATATGACAATTTTTAGAATTTTTGAAAAATTTGAATTCGAGACTGAATCTTTCGAAAATTTTAGTCTTGGACCAAAAACACGTGATAGTTTTAAAATCAGCACGTCGAGTTCTGTCTCGGATTTTTTTTGGGGGTTTTTTAGGTGACTTTCCAAAATCTCGATTTTTCAATATGACATTTTCGATCATTTCTTTTGACCATTTTCAAAAATTGCCTAAAAGAATTTTTTTGGAGATGTCGTCTCTAGAAGTCATTTTCGAGTTCAGGTCTTTAAAAATTCCCACCATTTCCAGAATCTCCAAATGAAAAATACGTTGATTTTTAGAATTTTTGGAAAATTCGATTTTTAGACCGAATCTTTCGAAAATCTTGGTCTTAGACCAAAAACACATTTAAAATCAACAGGTCGAGATCTATTTCCCTGAATTTTTTGTGCATTTTTGACTAGTTTTCGAAAATCTCGATTTTTCAAGATGAAATTTTCGACCTTCTTTTGACAATTTTCGAAAATTACGAAAAGGGATTTTTTGTAGATGCCGACTTCAAAGTCATTTTCGGTTTTAGTTCTTTAGAAAATCCGAATTTGAGTCCGAATCTTTCCAAAATCTTAGTTTTAGACCAAAAACACGTTATATTTTTGGAATCAACAGGTCGAGATCCATTTCCCTGGATTTTTTGTGGATTTTAAGACAAGCCTTCGCAAATATTGATTTTTGAATATGAAATTTTCGACTTTTTTCCATTTTCGAAAATTATTGAAGGGATTTTTTTTTAATTCGACCTTTGGAAATTATTATGAAATGACAATTTTTAGAATTTTTGAAAAATTCGAATTTGGGACCGAATATTTCGAAAATCTTAGTCCGAGAAAACACGTTATATTTTTAGAATCAGCACGCCGAGATCTATATCCCGGAATTTTTTTGTGGATTTTTAGACAACTTTTCCAAAATCCCTATTTTCGGTCGTTTTTTTTACCATTTTCGAAAATTTTTTTGTAGGTGCCGTCTCTAGAGGTCATTTTCATCTTCAGTTCTTTGACAATTCTCACTACTTTCAGAATTACCAAATGAGGTATGACAATTTTTAGAATTTTTGAAAAATTTTACTGAGACCGAATCTTTCGAAAATCTTAGTCTTGGACTAAAAGCACGTTATTGTTTTGAAATCAACAGGTGGAGATCTATATCTCTGAATTTTTTGTGGATTTTTGGATAAGTTTTCGAAAATCTCATTTTTTTAATGAGATTTTTGAATTTTCGACCTTTTTTTCCGTATTTTCGAAAATTACTTAAAGGGAATTTTTTGTAGAGTCGGATCTTCAGAAATTATTTTGGGCTTCAGTTCTTTAAAAATTTCCACCACTTCCAGAGAGACCAAATGAAATACGATAATTTTTAGAATTTTTGGAAAATTCAAATTTGGGACCGAATATTTCCAAAAATCTTAATCCGAGAAAATATGTTACATTTTTAGAATCATCACGTCCAGATTTTTTGTGTGGATTTTTGAACAACTTTTCCAAAATGCCTATTTTTCAATATGAAATTTTGGACTTTCCTTTTTTGGCCATTTTCGAAAATTTCCAAAAGGATTTTTTTTGTAGATGCCGTCTCTAGAGGTCATTTTCAGCTTCAGTTCTTTAACAATTCTCACTTTCCTTTCAGAATCACCAAATGAAATATGACAATTTTTAGAATTTTTGAAAAATTTGACTTGAGACCGAATCTTTCGAAAATCTTAATCTTAAACTAAAAACACGTTATATTTTTAGAATCAACAGGTCGAGATTTAGATCTCTGAATTTTTTGCAGATTTTTGGACAAGTTTTCGAAAATCTCGTTTTTTAAAGATTTTTGAATTTTCGACCTTTTTTTGACTATTTTCGAAAATTACTTAAAAGAGAATTTTTTGTAGAGTCGGATCTTCAGAAATTATTTTGGGCTTCAGTTCTTTGAAAATTTCCACCACTTCCAGAGAGACCGAATGAAATATGATAATTTTTAGAATTTTTGAAAAATTCAAATTTGGGACCGAATATTTCCAAAAATCTTAATCCGAGAAAACACGTTAAATTTTTAGAATCATCAGGTCGAGATCCATATCCCGAATTTTTTTTGTGGATTTTTGGACAACTTTCCCAAAATCCCTATTTTTCAATATGAAATTTTGGACCTTTCTTTTTTGGCCATTTTCGAAAATTTCCAAAAGGATTTTTTTTTGTAGATGCCGTCTCTAGAGGTCATTTTCAGCTTCAGTTCTTTAACAATTCTCACTACTTTCAGAATCACCAAATGAAATACATATGACAATTTTTAGAATTTTTGAAAAATTTGACTTTGAGACCGAATCTTTCGAAAATCTTAGTCTTAAACTAAAAACACGTTATATTTTTGGAAACAACAGGCGGAGATTTATTTCTCTGAATTTTTGTAGATTTTTGAACAAGTTTTCGAAAATCTCGTTTTTTGAATTTTCGACCTTTTTCTGATTATTTTCGAAAATTACTTACAAGGAATTTTTTGTCAGAAATTATTTTGGGCTTCAGTTCTTTAAAAATTCCACCACTTCCAGAGATACCAAATGAAATATGACAATTTTTAGAATTTTAGAAAAAGTCGAATTTGGCACCGAATTTTCCAAATTTCGATTTTCTACCAATTCGACCAGTTTCGAAAATCACCCAAATTATTATTTTTTTTTTTTTGTTTTTGGGGGAAAACACTTATCTGTACTGTTAATCGACCCACATATATTTTTTTTTTTTTTTGAAAAAAATCCGGAAAGATTTCACGATTTAATTTAAAAACCACCAAACTCTTTGCCCTGAAATTTTACATACATTTTAAAATTGTAGTAATAGTGATAAATCGCCAATCAGAATTCATCTAGTCATCCATTTAAAAAACTTGGTGACGCCATTCCAAAAATTTTGCCATATCAATACTGTTTAAAATATGCAAAATAATATATTTCTATCTTTTCAACGTCATGCGTGTAGATTTCTGGAATAAAATTTTTTTTTTCAAAATTCGTCTATTCAATCCTTCCGAGGCGTTGATGACGTCATCTCAAAATTTCGATAAATGAGGGAACTAATTTTGTTGATTAAACCAAATACATTACGTGTTATCATAATCGATGACACCATCACAAAACTTTTGTTGATTCAGAGATATTATTCAGCAAATAAATGCGAGGCGAAGTCGAGAGTTACACTTCAAGGTGATTATAAAAACATTAAGAGTGACTGTTTTTGTCATTGTTTACACAAGTCTCGGCTTCGCCTCGCATTTATTTGGAATATTCATTGTGTTGTCGGGCAAGTTCTAAAAATAGTACTTTATGACAATTTGATTATTATTTTTATCTTTGTATCGAATGTCGTGGAAATTGTGCCATTTATTGCGCAGAAAATAATTTTTACAGACACTTGAATTACAACACCAAAAGATGAACATTGTTTTACATTTGTGATTAAAAAAAAATATATCCAACGAACATTCTTTTCTTCCTTCGAGAGCACCGAACAGAATACGACATAATTACACAGTCGAGCGTAGAATTTCTTTTGGGTAAATAATAATGTCGAAAACAAATATGAATCGTGTTGAAAGCACGAATTCCCCAAAGTCGAAAAAGGAAAACAAGATTGCGTTGCGTAATGTGTGCAACGATTAGTTAATTCCGTGGAAAAATTCGTTGTTTGCGAACGATTGCACTTGTCACGTGTGTCGGACATCGGTATCTCTACGCTAATGATCGCTGTCTGAAAAAAAAAAGTAACGTAATGTTTTTCTAGATGTGTCCTACGCCATCCACTGCGAAGCCATCATGAAAAACCCGGAATGGCAACAACGAAGCACGCGAATGAAATCTCTGAAAGTGATGAAAAGCGATAGATCTGATAAAACTGCACTGGAACATAGATCAAAGAAAATTGACCACCGGAAGAAGTATAACCGTTTGTTGAAACCGAGCACGATGTCGGCGCTTTCGGCGAGTGAGTCGCTTTCGCGCGTTCTTAGTACCTCTAGTAAAATTTCGCTCGTTTTCAGAGATCAGAAACAAAATTCGAGGAAGAAAAACGGGCCGACATTCGACTTCGTCGTCGTCGTTATCGTTCAAGAGGAAACCAAAAATGGCCATGACGCAATTACAGTCGGCGGTGGGCGACACCGCCGACGAGGAAGTAGAATCCATAGGGAACAACAGCAACGCGGCGGCGTCCAATTCGGCGGCGGCGTCGCCGAGTTCGTCGCCGCTGCTCCACATGCAGGCGATTTCGGGCTACAACAGGAGGAACAGGGCGAATTCGTACGATATCGACAATATCGTGATACCGTACAGCGTCGCAGCCGCCACCAGGGTAGAGAAGTTGCAGTACAAAGAAATACTAACACCAAAGTGAGTGGGATCCGGGGGCGGCGATTATAATTTCGTTAATTCGGGTGTTTTTAGATGGCGAATAGCGGAAGTCGATGTTAAATGTGATAAAAACAACGGAGCTGTTAGGAATCCTAGTCAAGATAGCGATGTAAGTGTATTTTTTAATGTGTGTGTATGTAAAGTTGGTAGTTCTGTATGATGCATTCACAGTAATTGACTTAGCAATGATATGTCTAAAGTTTCGTCACTACCACTGACTTGTAAAAAAAGTTGATAGGATGATTTTTGGTTTTCGGGCGTTTTGCTGATGAGCTTTGACGTGTTCGCAGGCGGAAGATCTCTCTGAAGAAGCCGTGATAACCCGTCACGAGAAGTGCGAGTACGAAGAAAAGAAGAAATTCCTGAGTTACCTGAAACTACCGAGCGGCCACGGCCGCTCCCGATCACACAAACGAACCGACAGCTTGGCGGAGTCGAGCGGCGCGAACACGCCCGATCCGCTGTCGCCCCACCCCGCCGACCACGCCGACAACACCACCAACTCGCCGCTGACGTCGCCGCCGGCGACGCCGCTCCCGGCCAACCCCGACGACCTGCCGTCGATCAGCGCGATGCGGCGGCGGACGATCTCGCAGTCGCGCTTCGCCAGGGAGAGCAGGGAGGTGGGGCGCGAGGAGAACAGCACGCCCGAGAACGTGGAAGTGGCGCCGTTCGACACGCGGACGTTCCCGTTGGACGACGAGACGTTCGAGAAGATGCTGAAGAACATGCCGGAGGACCACCAGTTCCAGACGAACTACCGGGCGCAGGACTCGGGCGAGTTCGGCTACCTGGACGACAAGGCGGACTCGCCGGGGAGCGAGTCGACGGAGTCGGCCGTGGGGGACGAGGACCCGAACGACCCCGAGTGGGTCGACATGGAGCGGTCGAGGGACAGGCACAAAAGATAGACGTGCGAGTGACAGTTGATTAGTTGGTTTTAATTTGCCGGGCAACCGAGCAGTAGTTTTGATTGTTTCAAGCTTCGGATTTTGTATTATAAGGTCTGTGATTGTCATTACACTACTTGTAAAGATACGTCAATACTGTTGTTGCTCTTTAGTATTGTAATGTATATTAATCTTGTTAAAGCGAAATACAGAATTCAAAGCTTAGTAGTTATTCAGTTCACTTGTAATATTTTCTCATTTTGTAATATAATCATAATTTAGGATATTTCATTTTGTACTGTTGCAAGTTAATAAAGTTCTAGTTCACTTGATTCACGTGACTGGTTAGTCGGTTAATGCTAATTTTAACATTGTCATTTTTGTTACGAGTTCGATTTTCGTTCTAGTTACTGTTAATTTTCTTTTTTAAATGTCAAGTACAACCCAGTGACTTGTTACGAATGTATTATTGTAAATAAGACAGTGCAAATGTTTGTTACAAATATATTTTCGAAATTATTTGCAGGCGACTGCAGTTTTGTTTAGCGAAAATCCAAATTGTACATACTCTTCATAAGAGGCAATTATGTATTACTATTACCATTATTAAAATGTTTACACAGGAAGTCTCGGTTTATGTTACGGTGCAAGATTGTTTCTATTTTTGCCACACAGAGAAGATTTGCATCAGTACATCACCCATCTTAATAACTACCTGTAGTGGTATTGTACGTTTTTATATGCAGATATCTACATGTATATCAATAAAATAAAAATCGATCTGCTTGTTCGACAGCCAGATTTGTGACTTTTATTTTAAGAAAACCACACCTGCGGAGTACGAAAATTTTATTTAAAAAAATACAGGCCAGGTTCATTTCGGGGTCTTGGACAGGTGGTGCCGGAGGCGGTTGGTGGGCCACTCGAGGCTGCCGATGTAGCGGTTGTATTCCTGCTCCAGGGCGAATTTCTTGTCTAGGGGCTCTACGACCACGGGGGCTCGGTCCTTGTTACACACACGTTTGCTACCGCGCATCTCTTTCTAAAATTGGAACAGATATAATACAGGAAAAAAAATCTTAATACAGATAAATTATAAAATTAATCATAAAATTAATTAACTGATTAATTACTTTGAAAATGTCGGATGAACGACTCTAGACTACACAATTGAAGTTAAATTCTACAATTTTGAATTCTTTCCACAAAACAACACAAATTAACCATTTTTGACTTAATTACAAAATTAATTCATTTACGTATCTCGCATTAACAATTCTAAACAAAAAAATTGAAGAGTTGAACTGTAAAATTCGGCTGTACAATTTTGATGTTTTTCCAAAAATCTGTACACAAATGACACATTTTTAACTAAATCATAAAAATCATTGATAAATTCCCTCGCATAAACTATTCTCAAAAATTATATGAACCATTTTTTATTTAACCATAAAATTAAATAAATTAAAATATATAAATCACTTCAAACACCTCACATAAAAATTTCTAGAAAATAAAATTCAGTTTACAATTATGAATTTTTTTCCAAAAATTTATACACAAATGAACTATTTTTGATTTAATCATAAAATCAATTAATTCGTTAATTAATTACTTCAAACATCTTACACAAAAAACTCTACGAATTAAAATTCCGTCCTAGGATTTTGAACCTGCGCACACAAATGAACCATTTTTGACGTAATCAGTAAAATTAATTAATTAATTATTTTAAATATCTTGCTTAAACAATTCAAGCCAATAAAACCATTAAGTTAAATCGTAAAGTTCGGTAGAATTTTGATGTTTTTCCAAGAATTTATACACAAATGAACTGTTTGAGATTTAGTCATAAAATTAATTAATTTATTGATTAATTAATAACTTCAAACATCTCCCACAAAAAAACACTAAGAAATAAGATTCTGTCCTACAATTTTCATTTTTTTCCCAAAAATCTACACACAAATGAACGACATTTGACTTAAGCAGTACAATGAATTAATTAATAAATTATTTTAAATGTTTTCCCAGAATTAAAGACACATGAACCATTTTTGTTTTAGACATAAAATTATTAATTGGGAGGTACTTCAAACAATTCACAAAAAAATTTAGAAAATTACATTTGGTTCATTTTTTTTTTCAAAAATCTCCACAATAATGAATCATTTTTGATTTGGTCAATGAAATTAATGAAGTAATTTATTAATTACTTAAAACATCTCGATTAAACAATTCTAGAACGTAAAAACGTCAAGTTAAATCGGAAAATTCTGTCCAATTGCCTACAATTTCCAACTTTTTCCAAGAATTTACACACAAGTGAATCATCTTTGATGAAAATAATGAAACAATTAAAAAAAATAATAATAAATTCTGACGTTTAAAGTAATTAATGAACAAATTAATTAATTTTATGATAATATATGTTATGGCGTATCAAAAATTGGTCATTTATTTGCCTAAATTCTGATTTATGATTTTATGATAAAATTGTTGGAAAAAATTCAAAATTGTGTAACAGAATTTGGTTTCTAGAATTGTCAAGCCAGATGTTTCAAGTAGTGGGTAAATTAAAATTAATTAATTTTATTGATTAAGAAAAAAAATTCGTTTATGTGTACATTTTTGTGAAAAAAATCTAAATTGTGGAACAAAATTTTATTTCTAGAGTTTTTATGTTTGAAGTCATTAATTAATTTTATGACTAAATCAAAATTGGTTCATTGGTCTAAATTCTTGTAAAGAATTCAAAATTGTAGAAAGGAATTTAATTTTCTAGAATTTTTCACGTAATGTTTGAAGTAATTAATTAACGAATTAATTAATTTCATGATTAAATAAAAAATGTGCCATTTGTGATGAGTTCGTGGAAAAAACTCAAAATTGGACAGAATTTTACAATTTAATTGGATGTTTTCATGTTCTAGAATTTTTAAGTGAAATGTTTGTTAATTAGTAAATTAATTCATTAATTTTATTTAAAATAAATTAAAAATGGTCACTTATGTGTAGATTTTTGGAAAAAAAGGTTAAATTGTGGAACAAAATAATATTTCCAGAGTGTTTGTGAAATGTTTGAAGTAATTAAAATTAAAAATCTTCCATTTATCTATTAAATTCGTGGAAAAAATTCAAAATTGGACAGAATTTTACGATTTAATTTGATGTTTCTGTGTGCTAAAATAATTATTTAAGCGAGGTGTTTCAAGTAATTAGTAAATTAATTCATTAATTTTATCTATTAAATTAAAAATGGTTCATTTATATGTAGATTCATGGAGAAAAATCGAAAGTGTGGAACAATTTTTTTTTGTTTTTTTGCCAGAGGTTTGAAGTAATTAATTCATGAATTATTTTATGATTAAATCAAAATTAATTATTTCATTGGTGTGTAAATTCTTGTAGAGAATTCAAAATTGTAGAATGGAATTTAATTTTCTAGAATTTTTTACGTAATGTTTGAAGTAATTAATCAATGAATTAATTAATTTGATGATTAAATAAAAAATGTTCCATGATTGTTTAATTCGTGGAAAAAACTCAAAATTGGACAGAATTTTACGATTTAATTTGAGGTTTTTATGTTCTAGAATTTTTAAGTAAAATGTTTTAAGGAATTAGTAAATTAATTCATTAATTTAATTTAAATTAAATAAAAAATGGTCACTTATGTGTAGATTTTTGGAAAAAAAGTTTAAATTGTGGAATAAAAGAATATTTACAGAATGTGTTGGTGAGATGTTTGAAGTAATTCATTATTTTATGATTAAATAAAAAATCTTTCATTTATCTGTTAAATTCGTGGAGAAATTCAAAATTGGACAGAATTTTATGTTTCAAGTAATTAGTAAATTAATTCATTAATTTTATTTATTAAATTAAAAATGCTTCATTTATGTGTAGATTTGTACAGAAGAGTCTAAAGTGTGGAACTTTTTTTTTAAGTTTTTTTGCCAGAGGTTTGAAGTAATTAATTAATGAATTATTTTATGATTAAATCAAAATTGGTTCATTGGTGTGTAGAATTTAATTTTCTAGAATTTTTTACGTAATGTTTGTAGTAATTAATTTATGAATTAATTAATTTTATGATTAAATAAAAAATGTTCCATTTGATTGTTTAATTCGTGGACAAAACCCAAATTGGACAGAATTTTACGATTTAATTCGATGTTTTCATGTTCTAGAATTTTTAAGTGAAATGTTTTAAGGAATTAGTAAATTAATTCATTAATTTTATTTAAATTAAATTAAAAATGGTCACTTATGTGTGGATTTTTGGAAAAAAAGTTTAAATTGTCGAACAAAATAATATTTCCATAGTGTTAATGAAATGTTTGAAGTAATTAATTAATTAATTGATTATTTTATGATTAAATTAAAAATCTTCCATTTATCTGTTAAATTCGTCGAAAAAAATTCAAAATTGCACAGAATTTTACGATTTAATTATTTAAGCGAGGTGTTGGTAAATTAATTCATTAATTTTATCTATTAAATTAAAAATGGTTCATTTAAATGTTGATTTATGGAGAAAAGTCTAAATTGTGTAAAAAATTTTTTTTTTAGTATTTTTGCCAGAGGTTTGAAGTAATTAATTAATGAATAATTATATGATTAAATCAAAACTGGTTCATTGGTGTGTAAATTCTTTTAAAGAATTTAATTTTCTAGACTTTTTTACCTAATGTTTGAAGTAATTAATTAATGAATTAATTAATTTTATGATTAAATGAAAAATGTTCCATTTGTGTGTTTAATTCGTGGAAAAAACTCAAAACTGAACACAATTTTCGATTTAATTTGATGTTTTCATGTTCTAGAATTTTTAAATGAAATGTTTTAAGGAATTAGTAAATTAATTCATTAATTTTATTTAAATTAAATTAAAAATGGTCACTTGTGTGTAGATTTTTGGAAAAAAAGTTTAAATTGTGGAACAAAATAATATTCCTAGAGTGTGTTTGTAAGATATTTAAAGTAATTAATTAATTAATTATTTATTTTATGATTAAATAAATAATCTTCCATTTATCTGTTAAATTCGTAGAAAAAAGTCAAAATTGGACGGAATTTTACGATTTAATTTGATGTTTCTGTGTGCTAGAATAATTGTTTGAGTGAAATGTTTCAAGTAATTAGTAAATTAATTCATTAATTTTATTTATTAAATTAAACATGGTTCATTTATATGTAGATTTATGGAGAAAAGTCTAAATTGTGGAACCTTTTTTTTTTTTAGTTTTTTTTGCCAGACGTTTGAAGTAATTGATTAATAAAATATTTTATGATTAAATCAAAATTGGTTCATTGGTGTGTAAATTCTTGTAAAGAATTCAAAATTATAGAATGGAATTTAATTTTCTAGAATTTTTGACGTAAAGTTTGAAGTAATTAATTAATGAATTAATTAATTTTATGATTAAATAAAAAATGTTCCATTTGTGTGTTTCACTCGTGAAAAAAAAAACAAAATTGGAGAGAATTTTACGATTTAATTTTTTGTTTTCATGTTCTAGAATTTTTAAGTGAAATGTTTTAAGGAATTAGTTGATTAATTCATTAATTTTACTTAAATTAAATTAAAAATGGTCACTTATCTGTGGATTTTTGGAAAAAAAGTTTAAATTGCGGAACAAAATAGTATTTCCAGAGTGTGTTTGTGAAATGTTTGAAGTAATTAATTAATTAATTGATTATTTTATGATAAAAATAAAAATCTTCCATTTAGCTGTTAAATTCGTAGAAAAAATTCAAAATTGGACGGAATTTTACGATTTAATTTGATGTTTCTGTGTGCTAGAATAATTGTCCAAGTGAAATGTTTCAAGTAATTAGTAAATTAATTCATTAATTTTATTTATTAAATTAAAAATGGTTCATTTATATGTAGATTTATGGAGAAAAGTCGAAAGTGTGGAATAATTTTTTTTTTGTTTGAAGTAATTAATTAATTAATTAATTAATTTTATGATTAAATAAAAAATGTTCCATTTGTGTTTCACTCCTGAAAAAAAAAACCAAAATTGGAGAGAATTTTACGATTTAATTTTTTGTTTTCATGTTCTAGAATTTTTAAGTGAAATGTTTTAAGGAATTAGTTGATTAATTCATTAATTTTACTTAAATTAAATTAAAAACGGTCACTTATCTGTAGATTTTTGAAAAAAAAGTTTAAATTGTGGAACAAAATAGTATTTCCAGAGTGTGTTTGTGAAATGTTTGAAGTAATTAATTAATTAATTGATTATTTTATGATAAAAATTAAAATCTTCCATTTAGCTGTTAAATTCGTAGAAAAAATTCAAAATTGGACGGAATTTTACGATTTAATTTGATGTTTCTGTGTGCTAGAATAATTGTTTAAGTGAAATGTTTCAAGTAATTAGTAAATTAATTCATTAATTTTATTTATTAAATTAAAAATGGTTCATTTATATGTAGATTAATGGAATTTGTGTGTTTAATTTGTGGACAAAACTCAAAATTGGACAGAATTTTACGATTTAATTCGATGTTTTCATGTTCTAGAATTTTTAAGTGAAACGTTTTAATGAATTAGTAAACTAATTCATTAATTTTATTCAAATTAAAATAAAAATGGTCACTTATGTGTAGATTTTTGGAAAAAAAGTTTAAATTGTGGAACAAAATAATATTCCTAGAGTGTGTTTGTAAGATATTTAAAGTAATTAATTAATTATTTATTTTATGATTAAATAAATAATCTTCCATTTATCTGTTAAATTCGCAGAAAAAAGTCAAAATTGGACGGAATTTTACGATTTAATTTGATGTTTCTGTGTGCTAGAATAATTGTTTGAGTGAAATGTTTCAAGTAATTAGTAAATTAATTCATTAATTTTATTTATTAAATTAAACATGGTTCATCTATATGTAGATTTATGGAGAAAAGTCTAAATTGTGGAACCATTTTTTTTTTAGTTTTTTTTGCCAGACGTTTGAAGTAATTGATTAATAAAATATTTTATGATTAAATCAAAATTGGTTCATTGGTGTGTAAATTCTTGTAAAGAATTCAAAATTATAGAATGGAATTTAACTTTCTAGAATTTTTGACGTAATGTTTGAAGTAATTAATTAATGAATTAATTAATTTTATGATTAAATAAAAAATGTTCCATTTGTGTGTTTCACTCGTGAAAAAAAAACCAAAATTGGAGAGAATTTTACGATTTAATTTTTTGTTTTCATGTTCTAGAATTTTTAAGTGAAATGTTTTAAGGAATTAGTTGATTAATTCATTAATTTTACTTAAATTAAATTAAAAATGGTCACTTATCTGTAGATTTTTGAAAAAAAAGTTTAAATTGCGGAACAAAATAGTATTTCCAGAGTGTGTTTGTGAAATGTTTGAAGTAATTAATTAATTAATTGATTATTTTATGATAAAAATAAAAATCTTCCATTTAGCTGTTAAATTCGTAGAAAAAATTCAAAATTGGACGGAATTTTACGATTTAATTTGATGTTTCTGTGTGCTAGAATAATTGTCCAAGTGAAATGTTTCAAGTAATTAGTAAATTAATTCATTAATTTTATTTATTAAATTAAAAATGGTTCATTTATATGTGTAGATTTATGGAGAAAAGTCGAAAGTGTGGAATAATTTTTTTTTTAGTTTTTTTGCCAGAGGTTTGAAGTAATTAATTAATGAATTATTTTATGATTAAATCAAAATTAGTTCATTGGTGTGTAAATTCTTGTAAAGAATTCAAAATTGCCGAATGGAATTTAATTTTCTAGAATTTTTGACGTAATGTTTGAAGTAATTAATTAATGAATGAATTAATTTTATGATTAAATAAAAAATGTTCATGGAAAAATTCAAAATTGGACAGAATTTTACGATTTAATTCGATGTTTTCATTTTTAAGTGAAATGTTTTAAGGAATTAGTAAATTAATTAATTAATTTTATTTAACTTCAATTAAAAATGGTCACTTATGTGTAGATTTTTGGAAAAACGTTTTAATTGTGGAACAAAATAATATTTCCAGAGTGTGTTTGTGAGATGTTTGAAGTAATTAATTAATTAATTGATTATTTTATGATTAAATAAAAAATCTTCCATTTATCTGTTAAATTCGTGGAAAAATATCAAAATTGGACAGAATTTTACGATTTAATTTAATGTTTCTGTGTGCTAGAATAATTATTTAAGTGAAATGTTTAAAGTAATTAGTAAATTAATTCAAAAACGTAATTTATTAAATAAAAAAGGGTTCATTTATATGTAGATTTATAGAGAAAAGTCTAAATTGTGGAACAATTTTTTTTTTCGTTTTTTTGCCAGAGGTTTGAAGTAATTAATTAATGAATAATTATATGATTAAATCAAAACTGGTTCATTGGTATGTAAATTCTTGAAAATAATTCAAAATTGTAGAATGGAACTTAATTTACTAGAATTTTTTACGTAATGTTTGAAGTGATTAATTAATAAATTAATTAATTTTATGATTAAATAAAAAATGTTCCAATTGTTGTGTTTAATTCGTGGAAAGTACTCAAAACTGGGCAGAATTTTACGATTTAATTTGATGTTTTCATGTTCTAGAATTTTTAAGTGAAATGTTTTAAGGAATTAGTTGATTAATCCATTAATTTTACTTAAATTAAATTAAAAATGGTCACTTATCTGTGGATTTTTGGAAAAAAAGTTTAAATTGTGGAACAAAATAATATTTCCCGTGTGTGTTAGTGAGATGTTTGAAGTAATTAATTAATTAATTGATTATTTTAAGATTAAATTAAAAATCTTCCATTTATCTGTTAAATTCATGGAAAAAATTCAAAATTGGACAGAATTTAAGATGTTTCAAGTAATTAGTAAATTAATTCGTTAATTCTATTGACTAATTCAAACAGGTTCAATGTGGAGGTTTTTGCAAAATAAGAAAATCGTGGAACAAAATTTAATTTTCTAAATTTTTTTGTGAATTGTTTGAAGTAACTAATTCATGAATTAATTAATTATTTTATGCCTAAATTAAAAATGTTCCATTTGTGTGTTTAATTCTTGGAAAAAATTCAAAACTGTACAGAATTTTACGTTTGTACTTGATGTTTTTAGTTTCTAGAATTGTTTAAGCGAGATGTTTCAAGTAATTAGTAAATTAATTAATTATCATTTATTTGTGTAGATTTTTGGAAACAATTAAAAATTGTAAAACAGAATTTTATTTTCTAGAATGTTTTATCTGAATTGTTTGAAGTAATTGGTTAATTTTTTAATTAATTTTGCGATTTAATGAAAAATTGTTCACTTATGAGTAGATTTCTGGAAAAATATCAAAATTGTGGAACAAAATAAAATTTCTAGAGTGTATTTGATGAGATGTTTGAAGTAATTAATTAAATTCAAAAACGGATTTCACTGTAGAACCTTACCTGCATCTCGCCAGAAATACGTGTCTTGATACTCTCCGTAAACTTAACGTATTCATGGTAGCCACTTTTATGAGCCATCAAACATTCTAAAACATCGAAAACGCGTTGGGCCTGCCTCTTACAAATTTTATGTCGCTTCAACAACTCCTTAATCTGCTTCTGGTTCTGAGTTGAAATACTAATTTTATTTTCCTCCAAATCTTTATACACCCTCAGACTATCGCAAAAGTCGCGAATTCTCTGAAAAATTTCGGTTGGTTCCTCAACTACAAAATACACAACTTCACAAAAAAAAAAAAAACTAAAACCAAAAGACCTGTGATATCCGCAGAATCCGGTAATTCCAGTAAATAATTATATATGGTGCAGTACAACTTGGTACCGAGCCCTCTCCTCTGGTGGCTGGGTAAAATAAAGAACTGGCTGATCCGTGGCCGGATTAAATCCGGATACAGGTAGAATTTGTACACCGTACAAAAACCAACAGGCGAGCGATATTGTTTCCCCTCGACTTCAAACTCTTCATATCTGATAAAATTAAATTATGGTAGCGTCCAACCCGTGCCAAAAAATACTAACACGTAAAAAATAGCCCAGCGGGTGTCTTCCAGATCTATGAAATTCGCCCCATCAATAAACCACACGATGTAAGTCTCAAACCGCTGGTGGAACTCCTTGAAACTCTCGCTCGACGTGTCGCAAATGGTGATTTTGTACGTTCCTAAAAATCTCAGGTGAATAAAACCCACGACAGATCCAACCCCACTTACTCCCTTGGTTCTCAAACGTGTCAATCACCTCACCGAACATCTCTGAGTGATTTTCGTCTTGTAAATCCCCCAAGAACTGCTCTTTCTTCGCTCTAAAGTCTGTAGGTAGCCACGGATTCAACGCGGTCATCACATCATCGGCTTCAAACCCCTCGCTGTCGACAATTTTATCACTGAACTGGACATCCGCGAAACACTTAGCCGAGTTGTGAAGGTAATACAAACTTATGGTGAGTTGCTTGTAGCCGAAAATCATTTCCCTGTAACACGATCGTACTCATGTGGTGACACCTTTCACTCACTTACGATTTGCCGAAAATCTGGTGCGCCATATCCGGCTTAAAACTATTGCTCTCTTTGTGGGGCGTTTCGAAATCTTTTTGTCCGTAAACTACAACAACTACGTAAACCAAGGAAGCTTTTTTTGGGGTCTTACCAGTCCGAAATGTGACGACATTCAAACTCGATTTCCTGTACTGCACCATTTCGTCGTCTTCGGAGTTCACAACTGGGTCGTTGTCTTCGTTTGAACTGTTCTTGGCCATCTGGAAATTTGATTTTTGTGTGGGGCGCGATATATTTTGGCAAAATACTCACGGTAAAAACGACGATAAAGCGGGGTTGGAAATCAGCACGATGCTACGTCTTGAAGGTTAAAAGGGCGGTTGAGAACTCGTTTTCCTGGATCAAATCGGTGGGAATTGGCCCCAAAATCGGGTTGTATTTTTATGTAAATATGATGGTTAGGGGTAATCTAGCGGTCTGGCGCGAAATGACAGCGCATGTCATTTGTGCCAAATGTCAAACGGGCGCGGGAAATTTAAATCGCTATTGCGATTTCAAAACAGTGGGCACCAGTGGCGGCGACTGGTTTACTAGACTGGAAAATCTAAAATCGAAAATTCAAAAACGGAAAGATTGAGAAATCCAAACATTTAAAACAGAAAAATGAAAAAAATTTAAAAATCGAAAGGTCAAAAAATGAAAAAGCAAGAAATCGAAAATCCAGAATATCAAAATTCGAGAAATTTAAAAATTGGAAAATTGAAGAATCGAAAAACTGAAAAATTGAAAAATAGAAAAATTCGAAACTTTCGATGTTTCGTTTTGTGATCGGGAAATTAGGAAAACTAAAAGTCGAAAAATCGAAAAAATGAGAAATCGAAATAAGCAAAAATTGAGAAGTTAAAAACAAAGAAATCGAAAACTATTAAAAAACAAAAACGATAAAAAGATTGAAACATCGAAAAAACGAAAAATTTTCAGGGAAAAATTGAAAAGCACTGAAGAATCGAAAAAACGAGAAATTGAAAAATCTAAAATTTGAAAAATTGAAAAATCAAATTATCGAAAAATTGCAGAATCGAAAATCCAGAATTCAAAAAATCGGAACATTGAAGAAAGAAAAAACTAAAAATTCGAAAAATTGAGAAATCGAAAATTTTAAATTAAAAAAGTGAGAAATCGAAAAATCGAAAAATCAAAAATTGAAGAGGCGAAACATTGAAAAATCCCAAAGTTGAAATATCAAAAAATTGAAAAATGGAAGAAAATTGAAAACCCGAGATGTCAAGAAATCGAAAAGTCAAAAAACCGATAAATCTAAAATCCAGAATTTAAAAAATCAAAAATTTTAAAATTCGAACAATTGAAAAATATAAATATCGAAGAACTAGAAAAATCGAAAATATCAAGAATTCAAAAATCAAGAAACCGAGACATCAAAAAAATCGAAAAATTGAAAAATTCGAATATCTGAAATTTAAAAACCCAAAAAATTGAAAAATTGGAAAATTGAAGAATTGAAAAACTGAAAAATCGAGAAATAGGAAAATTCCATAACTGAAATGACGAACAATTGGGATCTAGAAACACTGAAAAACTGAAAAGTCGAAAGACCAAGAAAAGGAAAAAACGACACACACGAAAAATCTAAAAATTGAGAAACCGAAATAGGCCAAAATTGAAAAATCAAAAAGGTAAAAACAAAAAAAAATACAAAAATTTAAAATTAAAAAAATCGATAAATAGAAAGATCTAAAAAAAGAAAAATTGAACAATCAAAAAATCGAAACATCGAAAAATTGAAAAATATAAATATCGACGAACTAAAAAATCGAAAAATTGAAAAATCGAAAAATCGAAAATTTGGAAAATGAAATTATGGACAAATTAAAAAAAGAAAAGAAATCGAGATTTCAAAAAAAAAAGAAAAACCGAGAAATCGATAAGTCGAAAAGTGGAAAATTGAAGAATAGACAAAATGAAATGGCGAAAAACTGGAAAATGGAAAAACTGAAAACTCGAAAAATCAAGAAATCGAAAAAACGACACATCGAAAATTCAAAAACTGAAACATCGAAAAAAATTAGGAAGTCTAAAAGTCGAAAAATATAAAAAATGAGAAATCGAAATCAGCAAAAATTGAGAAGTCAAAAACAAAGAAATCTAAAATTTTGAAATTAAAAAAAATCGATAAAAAAATTGAAAGACAGAAAAATCGAAACATTGAAATTGATAAGTTCCCCAAATTGAGAAATCGAAAACTTGAAAAATCGAGAAATCTACGAGTAGAAATTGAGAAATCGAAAAATTTTTAAAATCGAAAAACCGAGATTTCAAGAAATCGAAACATCAAAAAACCGTAAAAACTCGAAAAGTGAACAATTTTAAAAATCGAAGAATCAAAAAAAAACAGAAAAAGTCAAAATCTAAAAATTGGAAAAATTGAAAAGAACTGAAGAATCGAAAAATTGAAAAATCGAAAATCCAGAATTCAAAAAATCGGGAACATTGAGAAAAGAAAAATTAAAAATTCGAGAAATTGGAAGATTCCAAAGCTGAAATAATGAAAAATTGGGAAATCGAAATACGCCGAAATTGAAAAATCTAAAAGCTAAAAATTGAAAAATCGAAAAATCAAAAACTGAAGAGTCGAAATATTGAAAAATGGAGGAAAATTGAAAACCCGAGATGTCAAGAAACCGACAAGTCAAAAAACCGATAAATCAAAAATTCAGAATTTCAAAATTCCAGAAATTGAAAAATTGAAGAACAGAAAAACTGAAAAATCGAGAAATAGGAAAATGCCATAACTGAAATGACGAACAATTGGGATATAGAAAAACTGAAAAATCGAAAAGCCGAAAAATTGAAAAGTCGAAGTAGGCCAAAACTGAAAAATCAAAAAGGTAAAAACAAAAGAAACACCAAAATTTAAAATAAAAAAAATCGTAAAATCGAAAAATTGAACAACCAAAAAATCGAAATATCGAAAAATTGAAAACCGAAAAACTGAAAAATCAAAACATTAAAAATTTTAAAAACCCAAAAATCGAAAAGTCAAAAAAAATGGAGAATTGAGAAATCAAAAATCCAGAATTTAAAAAATCGGAAAATTGAAGAAACAAAAAACTGAAAAATCGAGAAATTGAAAGATTCAAAGCTGAAATGGCGAAAAATTAGGAAATAGAAATATGCCGAAATCGAAAAACCAAAAAGTTAAAAAGCGAGAAATCGAAAATCTAGAATTTCAAAATTTGAGAAATTGAAAAATTGGAAAATTGAAGAATCAAAAAACTGAAAAATTGAGAAATAGAAAAATTCGAAACATCAAGAATTCGAAAAAATGAGAAATAGAAATACGCAAAAACTAAAAAATTAAAAACAAAGAAATCGAAAATTTTGAAATTAAAAAAAAATCCATAACAAAATTGAAAGATCGAAAAATCGAAAAATTGAAATCGAAACATCAAAAAATCAAAATTGACAAGTTCCCCAAATTGAAAAATTGAAAACTTGAAAAATCGAGAAATCTACGAGTAGAAATCGAAAAGTCGAAAAATTTTTAAAATTGAAAAACCGAGATTTCAAGAAATCGAAACATCAAAAAACAGGGAAAAATTGAAAAGAACTGAAGAATCGAAAAAACGAGAATTTGAAAAATCTAAAATTTGAAAAATTGAAAAATCAAATTATCGAAAAATTGAAAAATAAAATTATCGAAAAATAAAAAATCCAGAATTCAAAAAATCGGAACATTGAAGAAAGAAAAAACTAAAAATTCGAAAAATTGAAAAATCTAAAAGGTAAAAATTGAAAAATCGAAAAACTTTAAATTAAAAAAATGAGAAATCGAAAAATCAAAAAATCAAAAACTGAGGAGTCGAAACATTGAAAAATCCCAAAGTTGAAATATCAAAAAATTGAAAAATGGAAAACAATTGAAAACCCGAGATGTCAAGAAATCGAAATATCATGAAATCGAAAAGTCAAAAAACCGAGAAATCTAAGATCCAGAATTTAAAAAATCAAAAATTTTAACATTCGAAAAATTGAAAAATATAAATTCGAAGAACTAAAACGAAACCGAGACATCAAAAAATCGAAAAATTGAAAAATTCGAATATCTAAAATTTAAAAACTCAAAAAACTGAAAACCGAGTAATCGAGAAGTCGAAAATCCAGAATTTCAAAAATTTTAGAAATTGAAAAATTGGAAAATTGGAGAATCGAAAAACTGAAAAATCGAGAAATAGGAAAATTCCATAACTGAAATGACAAACAATTGGGATCCAGAACAACTGAAAAATTGAAAAGCCGAAAAATTGAAAAGTCGAAAGACCAATGAAAGGAAAAAACAACACACGAAAAATCTAAAAATTGAGAAATCGAAATAGGTCAAAATTGAAAAATCAGAAAGGTAAAAACAAAAAAAATACAAAAATCTAGAATAAAAAAAATCGATAAATCGAAAAATTGAAAGATGGGAAAAACGAAAAATTGAACAATCAAAACATTAAAAATTTTAAAAACCCAGAAATCGAACAGCCAAAAAAATGTAGAATTGAGAAATCGAAAATCCAGAATTTAAAAAATCGGAAAATTGAAGAAACAAAAAACTGAAAAATCGAGAAATTGAAAAATTCAAAGCTGAAATGGCGAAAAATTAGGAAATAGAAATATGCCGACATCGAAAAACCAAAAAGTTAAAAATTGAAAAATTCAAAAATTTATAATTCAAGAAATTGAAAAATCGAAGAAATATTGAAAAATTGAAAAATTCAAAAATCAAAAAATTTAAAAAAGAAAAGTCAACAAAACGAAAAGCCGATAAATCAAAAATTCAGAATTTAAAAGACGAAAGGAAAAATTGGAGAAAAGAAAAACTGAAAAATTGAGAAATAGAAAAATTCGAAACATCAAGAAATCGAAGCATCAAAAGATCGGGAAATTAGGAAATCTGAAAGTCGAAAAATCTAAAAATTGGGAAATAGAAATAAGCAAAAATTGAAAATTAAAAAACAAAGAAATCGAAAATTTTGAAATTAAAAAAAAATCGATAAAAACACTGAAAGATCGAAAAAACTAAAAATTTTAAAAATCGAATAATCGAAAATCCAGAATTTGAAAAATCGAAAAATTTTAATAAAAAAATCAGAAATCGAGAGAAATTGAAGAAAAATTGAAAAAATATCGAACTAAAAATCGAAAAATCGAAGATTTGGAAAATGAAAATATGGAAAAATTAAAAAAAGAAAAGAAACAAAAAAATCGAAAAGTGGAAAATTGAAGAATAGAAAAAATGAAATGACGAAAAACTGGAAAATGGAAAAACTGGAAAGTCGAAAAATCAAAAAGCCGAAAACTCGAAAGATCAAGAAATCGAAAAAACGATACATCGATAAATTCAAAAACTGAAAGAAAAATCTAAAAGTTGAAAAATCGAAAAAGGCCAAAATCAATAAATCGAAAAATTGAAAGTTCAAAAAAACGGGAAATTGAACAACCAAAAAATCGAAAATCGAATCCTCTCGATTAATCCAGAAATCGAAAAATCGAAAAGCTGAGAAATCGAAACAAAAAATTCCAAAAAGCGAAAAATTGAAATCCGGAAGTCGAAAAATTTGATAGATCGAGCAAAAACATCAAAAAATTTAAATTGAAAAGTTCCCCAAATTGAAATGTTGAAAAATCGAGAAATCTAAACGAAAAGTCCAAAAAATTTTAAGATTGAAAAACCGAGATTTCAAGAAATCGAAACATCAAAAAACCGTAAAAATTGAAAAACAGAAATATAGAAACACTAAAAAATGGAGAAAACGAAAAATCGAAAAATCTAAAACCTGAAAAATCGAAAAATCAAAATCTCAAGAGTCGAAATATTGAAAAATCGCAAAACTGAAATATCAAAAAATTAAAAAATGGAAGAAAAAGCAAATTGAAAAAAGAAATGATAAATCAAAATATCAAAAAACTGAAATTTTCAAATGTCCAAGTTTTAAAAATCAAAAAGTCAAAAAAAAGAAAAACTAAGAAATCGGGAAGTCGAAAATCCAGAATTTTAAAATCGAAAAGTTGGAAACAAAAAAAATTAAAATTTAAAATTAAAAAAACTGAAACATTGGACAACCGAAACATCAAAGATTTTAGAAACCCAGAAATTGAAATCCGAAAAGTCGAACAATCGATATTGAAAAATGTTCCCCGAATTGAAATACTGGAAAATTTAGAAACCGAAAACTTCAAAAATTGAGAAATCTAAAAATCGAAAATTTTTAAAATTCGAAAAACCGAAGAAATCTAAACATCAAAAAATTGTAAAAAATCGAAAAACGTAAAATTTAAAAAATCGAAAAATTAAAGGACCAAAAAATTGAAAAATAAAAATATAGAAGAATAGTACTTGTCAAGATAAAACTGATTTTGGCAGATGACGGGTCTTCTAAGAAAATAAAGGGTGGGTGGGCGGGGCTAGCACTTGTCAAGATAAGACTGATTTTGGCAAATGACATATCCTCTAAGAAAATAAGGGTGGGCGGGCGGGGCTAGTACTGGCTAGATAAGATTGATTTTGGCCGATGACTTATTGCTCTAAGAAAATAAATGTACTAGTACTCGCTTAAATTAAAAAAAATTAAAAGATCAAAAATCGACAAATTGAAAAATCGGATAAATGAGAAATCGGAAAATTGTACAACTGTATAATCGGAAAATCAAAAATTGAAATATCGAGAAATAAAAAAGTCCAAAATTTCAAAAATTAAAAAATCGAGAAATCGAAACACCAAAAAAATCGTAAAATCGAAGTCAAAAAATTAAAAACCGAAGAATCGAGAAAACGAAAATCCAAAATTTAAAAAATCGGAAAATGAAAGACACAAAAAACTGAAAAATCCAGAAATTGATTCCAAAGCTGAGATGGCGAAAAATTGAAACAACGAATAATTGGAAAATCGAAACATCAAAAAACGAGAAAATCGAAAAATCCAAAAATTGAAAAAGCGAGAAATCGAAACGTCAAAAAATCGAACTAAAGTAGGAACGAAACAATGAAAAGTTGTTTTTTTTCCAAAAAATCTCAATGTCTAGGATAAAAATTCAACACGGATTCATAAACCACAAGGTCATGACTATGTTACTTTTTAAGATTCAAATAACACTTATTCGACAAAGAATTGAATGGATAAAAATTTCGAAGCATTCGATTTTGCAATTTTAATGTCAAATTGAAAAATTTTGTGAAACATTTTTGATTTTTTTCCAAAAATCTGGATGCCGAAGTTAAAAATTCACCACGGATTCATAAACTACAAATAGAGAAGTACGTTACTTTATAAAATTTAAATATTACTCTTGTAAAATTAGTTGGTTGTGGGAATGACCAGACAAATTTAGTTAGCATTTTACGATCAGACGGAAACGAGAGTCTTATTTTTACGTACTCTAGGGGTCATCGACACATTGACCGACTGACCGCACGGACGAGCCGCCACTGGTGACTACAATCGTTCAGATTGTTTAAAATGTTAGAACTAGTTTAGAATTACGATGATCAAAAATGTCTCGACACAATTTAAAATCTATTCATGTTTTTTTAAAGGTGACCTATAATTTCATTGTGTACACTTTTTCGTACGTTTCACTCTGTAAATAAACGTGAGTGGCGCCCCCACACGTCTAATTTACACGCCAACTTAAAGTCAAGGTTATTCGCACCTTTTGTGGGGACGACCAGGCTCGTACCTAGGGTATAAATGGGCCCTTTTATAACTCAAAAAAAATGTAAATTGAATCTTAAAAAAATGTGGCTCAAAAACAAATATTTATTGTTATTTCTTCTCATATCTATTCTATAGTGCACATAGTCGAGGGTCATTCAAACGTTACATTTGTACGTACAAGATACCAACTTCCTGTGAAAAAGGTATTAGCAAAACATAAACCAACAACCGTGAACCGTGACAGCATTTTCGTGCGTTCACTGAATAACGCATCAAGTGTACATTTACTTAAGTAGCGACTTAAGTCAAGTCTATACGTAACTAAGTCACTACTTATTAACCGATCTTTGCTCGTCCAGCGATCTAAGCAGCGTAATGAACGAAAAAACCTTCTGGGCCATCTGAAACCACAACTTAGAAAAAACACAAGGCAGCGAAAATGTATAAATTACTTTAACAATAACTTCGTTATCCATAGCGACCAGTCCTGCCCCATACATGCTAATTCCCTTTTGTGAATTCATGATGAGTAGAGTCAGTCCTCTTTTTGCTTTCGCGTTGAAGAGATGCCAGTTGCATTGGTAAGCAGCTTCAGCGACCGAAGCGCTCTTTTTAAATTTCTGTAATTTTTTTTTTCGTTTCGTTGTATAGTTTGATTTTTACCTGATCGTGGATGTCGGCGCTCTGGACCGCGAAGATCGTGAACTGCATGATCGAAGAAAACACGAAGCTGAGGAGCATTGTGGATTTTGCCAGTTCTTCTAAATTCTGAAAATGAAAAAAAATTGTCGAACAAATCAAGCTCTTTTGAAATTATAAAAAAATTGCAATTCTTGTTTATTAATACCCACTATAAAGTTAAAACCATTGGTGTAGCGTCTTTGACTTGAATTTTTCAATTGGCAATTTCGAGTTCTCATTTTTAAATTTTTTAGATTTTCGATTTTCCAACTTATGAATTTTTCAGTTTTTGATTTTGCAATTTTTCGACTTTTTAATGTTTCGATTGTCCAATTTTTTGATGTTTCGAATTCTCGATCTTTCGACTTCGATTTTAGAATTTCAGTTTTTCATCTTTTTTAGTGGTAAATTTTTCGGTTTTTCGATTTTGTCCAATTTCAATGTCTTAATTTTCGATTTTTCAACTTTTCGATTTCTCGGTTTTTTTCGGCTTTTCGATTTTTCAATTTTTCGGTTTCCTAATTTTCCGTGATTTCAGTTCCGTCAGTGTTGGAATTTTTTAATTTTTCGATTTTTCAGTTTTTCGATTCTCCAATTTTTCAATTTTTTAAATTTTAGATTTTTCGATTTCTCGATTTTACAGTTGCTCTATATTTCTATTTTAAGTTTATCGAATGTTAAAATTTTTGATTTTTCGGTTCATTGGTCTTTCAATTTATCGAGATTCTAAATGATACATTTTTCGACTTTTGATTTTTAGATTTCTCGATTTTTCAAGTTTCGATTTCTCAATTTTTCAACATTTCAATTTGGGGAACTTTTCAATTTCCGAATTTCTCAATTTCTCGATTAATGGATTTTTTGAATCATCCCATTTTCGATTTTTCGACATTTCAGTGTTTCAATTTTTGCAGTTTTTCATTTCACTTTTGGAATTTTCAATATTTGGATTCTTCAATTTTTCCATTTTTTAGCTTCTGGATTTTCGATTTCCCGGTTTTTTATTCTTTTTGACTTCAATTTTTCGATTTTTTTGCCTTTTAATTAATTTTTCAATTTTACAATTTTTTGATGCTTCGATTTCTCGGGTTTCCCATTTTTCAATGTCTTATAATTTTTTTTTCAGTTTTCTGATCTCTCAATTTATCGAATTTTTACGTTTTTTTCGATTTTTAGATTTTTCGATTTTTAAAGTTTTCGATTTCTGAATTTTTCCGATTTTTTGATGTTTCGATTGTTCTCCTTTTAGATTTTTCGACTTTTCGGATTCCAATTTTTGGGTTTTTCAATTTTTCGGTTTGTAAAAGTTTTGATTTTTCCATTTTTCATTTTTTCGATTTTTAAATTCCATTTTTCAATTTTTCGGCACTGCAATTCTGAGGCTTTTCAGTTATTTTACTCTTCAATTTTTCAATTTTTAAATTTTTCGATTTTCAATTTTTCGACTTTTCGATTTCTCGATTTTTCAGTTTTTCGGTTTCTCAATTCTTCGATGGTTCAGTTTTACAACTTTTCAGTTTTTTGGCTCTTCAATTTTTGAAGTTTTAAATTTTTAGATTTTCAGTTTTTCAGTTTTTGAAGTTTCTAATTTTTCAGTTTCTCAGTTTTTCGATTAATTGATTTTTTGAATCCTTCCATTTTTCAGTTTCTCGATCTTTTGTGTTGTTTTTTCGATTCTTGGATTTTTTTGATTTTTCGGTTTTTCAATTTTTCGATTTTCTAATTTTTCGTTGTTTCGATTATGCAGTTTTTCGAGTTCCTTATTTTTCATTTCAGTTCGGTCAGTTTTGGAATTTTTCAATTTCTCGATTTTTCAGGTTTTCCATTCTTCAATTTTTTTATTTTTTCAAATTCTGGATTTTCAATTTATCGGTTTTTCATTCTTTTTGATTTTTTTATTGATTTTTCGGTTTTTTGACTTTTAAATTTTAGATTATTGAATTTTCAAATTTATCGATTTTTTGATTTTCCAATTTTTCCATATTCTAATTTTTAGATTTTTCGATTTTTCGTTCTACATTTCTATTTAATTTTTTATTTCTCAGTTCTTTGATCTTCCAATTTATCGATTTTTTAAATTAAACATTTTTTGATTTTTCACGATTCCTTGACACCTCGGTTTTCCGATTTAAAAATTTTTTGAGCTTTCGGTTTTTAGATTTCTCGATTTTGAAAATTTTCGATTTCCCAATTTTTCATCATTTCAATTTCCGCAACTTTTCAGTTTGCGTATTTTTCAATCTTTTGATATTTTTTTCGATTTTCTGATGTTTCGATTTTTCTCTCTTTCGATTTTTCGGATTTCAATTTTTTGGTTTTTAAAATTTTCGATTTCTCGACATTTCAATGTTTCGATTTTGCAGTTTTTCAATTTTTCGATGTTTAAATTTTTAATATTTCGACTTCAATTTTTCGATTTTTCGATTTTCTAATTTTTCGTCATTTCAGTTCCATGATTTTTGGAATTTTTTAATTTCTCAATTTTTCAATTTTCGATTCTTCAATTTTTCAAAACCTGGATTTTCGATTTCTCGGTTGTTAATTTATTTTCACTTCCATTTTTCAATTTTTTGATTTTTAAATTTTAGATTTCTGAATATTTCAATTCATCAATTTTTTGATGTCTCGATTCCTCAATTTTCCAATTTTTCGATTCCTTGACATCTCGGTTTTTAGATTTTTAAATTTTTTAACTCTTGAATTTTTAGATTTCTTGATTTTTCAAGTTTTCGAGTTCTCAATTTTTCAACATTTCAATTCGGGGAACTTTTCAATTTCCGTATTTTTCAATTTTTTGATATTTTAATTTTGCGAGTTTTCGAATTCCAATTTTTCAATTTTTCGGTATTTCAGTTTTGAGATTTTTCAGTTATTTTACTCTTCAATTTTTTGATTCTTCAATTTCTCGGTTCTAGAAATTTTCGATTTCTGGATTTTTTAATTTTTCGATTCCTCAATTTTTAGAATTTTAAATTTCTCAATTCTCAATTTTTTAATTTTTGAAGTTTCTAAATTTTCAGTTTTTCGACTTTGACTTTTCGATTTTGTCCTATTTCGATTTCTTAATTCTTCGATTTTTCGGTTTTTCGACTTCTCAATTTTCGATTCAATTTTTCAATTTTTTAAATTCTGGATTTTCGATTTCTCAGTTTTTCATTTATTTTGACTTCGATTTTTTGGTTTGTTGATTTTTACATTTTAGAGTTTTCAATTTTTCAATTTATCAATTTTTTGATGTCTCGATTCGCCAAGTTTTCAATATTTTAATTGATTTCTCAGTTTTTTGATCTTGCAATTTATCGATTTTTTAAATTATACATTTTTCGATTTTTTACGATTTTTTCATTAGCGATTTCTTGACATCTCGGTTTTTCGACTTTCAAAATTTTTCAATTTTTTTTTCTGTATTTTTCAAGATTTCGATTTCTCAATTTTTCAACATTTCAAGTTGGGGATTGCGATTTGCGATTTTTGTACTTTTCAGATTCCAATTTTTGGGTTTTTAAATCCCTCAATTTTACGAATTTTAAAGTTCTTTATTCTCAATTTTTTAAGTTTCTAAATTTTCAGTTTTTGATTTCTCAATTTGTCCATCAATCGATTTTTTGAATAATCCCATTTTTCAATTTTTCGACATTTCAGTGTTTCAATTTTGCAGTTTTTCAAATTTCGATCTTTAAGTTTTCAATTTTTCGATTTCGATTTTTCCACTTTACGATTTTTCATTTCACTTTTGGAATTTTCAGTATTTGGACTCTTCAATTTTTCAATTTTTTAACTTCTGTATTTCCAATTTCCCGGTTTTTCATTCTTTTTGACTTTGATTTTTGAATTTTTCAATTTTACGATTTTTTAATGTTTCGATTTCTCGGGTTTTCAATTTTCGAGAAATTGAGAATCCAAAAATTGAAAATTTTGAAACTTGAAACATCGGACAGTTGAAAAACCGAAAAATCAAAAATCCAGAAATTGAAAATTTGAAGGACCGAGCTATAGAAGAAACCCAAAAATTGAAATACCAAAAAATTGAAATATCGAAAAAATGAAAAACTAAAAAATTGGAATCCGAAAAGTTGAAAAATCGAAACATAAAACATTGAAATGTTGAAAAATTGAGAAATCAAAACTTGAAAACTCAGGAAATCTAAAAGTGTGATAACAAGCTGAAAATAGAAATATAGAGGAACTGTAAAAGCGAAATATCGATAAATTGAAAAATTCAAAAATTTTAAAATAAAAAACCGAGAAATCAAAGTCAAAGGCAATGAAAAACCGGGAAATAGAAAATCCAGGATTTAAAAAATTGAAAAATTGAAGAGTCTAAATACTGAAAATTCCAAAAGTGGAAATAATGAAAAATTGAAAAATCGAAAACTCGAAAAATCAAAGTCGAAAAATTGAAAAACTGCAAAATCGAAACATTATAAATGTCGAGAAATCGAAAAATGGGAAGATTAAAAAAATCGATTCATCGAGAAATTGAGAAATCGAAAAATTGAAAATTTAGAAACTTCAGAAATTGAAAAATTGAAAATCAAAAAATTTAAAACTTGAAATATTGAAAAGTCGAAAAATGGAATCCGAAAAATCGAGACATCAAAATATCGAAAAATTAAAATATTAAAAAATTGAAAAATCCGGAAATTGAAAAGTTCCCCAAATTTAAATGTTGAAAAATTGAGAAATTAAACTTGAAAAATCGGGAAATCTACAAATCAGAAGTCGAAAAATTGTAAAAATCGAAAACGCCAGATGTCAACAAATCAAAAAATCCTGAAAAATCGAAAAATCTATCATGTAAAATGTCAATAAATCAAGAAATCGAAAAATCTAAAAGTTGAAAATTTTAAAAATTGACGTATAAAAAATTGGTAAATCAAGAAATCGAAACATCAAAAGATCGATAAATTGAGAAATTCAATAATCTAAAATCCAGAAAATTGAAAAATTGGAGAATCGAAAAACTGAAAAATCGAGAAATTAAAAAATTCCAATACTAACAGAACTGAAATGACGGAAAATTAGGAAATCCAAAAACTGGAAAATCGAAACATTGAAAAATTGGAAAATCGAAAAATTAAGAAATCGAAATAGGGCAGAATCAAAAAACCGAAAAATTAAAAAAAGATAAAAAGCTGAAAATCTAATCAAAGTCGACCCATCGAGAATTCGAAACATCAAAAAATTGGACAATCGAAAATTCAAAAAGTCGAAAAATTGCAAATCGAAAAATTGAAACATTTGGAAATTCAGTAATCGAAAAAAAATTAAGTTGAAAAATTAAAAAATTGTAATATCAAAAAATTGGTCGAATTGGTTTAATCTTGCGAATTTTATTTTTTATGAAAACCATTATACGTGAAAATAAAGAGATTGAACACGGATTCATAAACCACATCTTATCTTAAGAATTAATAAATATATTAAAATTGAAATAATATTACTAAAAATAATAATTCATGAATCAGGATGACGTTGACGTACCTCTGACAGAGTGTAACCCATGAGCACGAGAGTCAGAAGCGTGGTCAACAGCTGCACCCCGAAGATGATGGACGAGAGATTCTTCAACTCGTTTCCATACCTTAAACAAAAACAAAAATCTTATTACTCCTGACGAGACACGAACAACATCGCCAACGTAATTCGGCCTCAATAAAATATGCAACACAAAAACTACCATTCTGGAAATATTACATAATTATCTGAGATGATCAATAACGCTGACATTTAAGATGTGCGTAGTTAGATGACCTATTTATACTCATGAGACGCCTATAACGAGTGAACACGAATTAATAGCAAACAAAACCATTACCTCAGTAACAAAGTATGATGCTTTATACACACCGCCAGCCTGCCGTAAACCTCTTCCTGAAACCTCCCCGAATTAAATTTATCCACGTCATCACAATGCTCCATCACCCCAAACTCCAATTTTTTCAAAACCATCTTCAGCACCATAAACTGCGCACACAAATGTTGTGCGGCGTAAACAAAAAAAAAGTCAAAAAAGCCGTTTCCGAAGACAGAGATGAACATATTCCAGGTTAGGAGGAAAAACATGATTTGGTAGAGCGGGCTGGGGTCTGGATTAAACGGGAGAGAGACCAGTGTGGGCAACCATTTGGTACGACCTTCTGGAATGGAACCATCCGGGAAGGCCAGGTGTAGAAATACGTATAAGCTGCTGGTGACACAGTGTGTTAGAAGGAGACAGTTGATCAGGAAAAACCTCTTCCTCCAGTAGTTGTGCAAGACCATGCCTCCTAGATCGATGTGCCAAAATTTTGTGGCGACGGTTTCGAATAAAAAGTGGACCTGTTTCCGGTAGATGAGGAGAAATGCCATTTTGACTACAGCCTAAAATATTTTTTTTTTGCAATAGGAAATTTTTGCGATTATGGTATCTGTGTAAAAACCAGACACTTACAAGGAGTGGGATCGGATAGATTGCCGATATTTCTAGAATGACCTCATTGTTATTCATTGACTTTGCAATGAACACTGTTCTTGCCACGAAACCCAGAAGCTTTAATATGAAGATTATGTAACACAGAAACATTATCCGATCTCTTTGCCCCCACAACTTCAGGTAGTAGTTTTTCAGGTGGTAAAACGGGTCGTCTAAAAAATTTCTTTCTTGGTTTTATAACCGAATTAATTTTATTTACCTTTAATTCCGACCGAACTTTCAGGGACAAAACACATCGTGACTTTGATACATAGAATGGACTAACTAAGGCACATTTCGTGAGGGCTCATTTTTTCTACTTACGTTACTTAAAACAAGAAGTAATTTTATACGAGTTACGGTAGTACGATAATAAACATGCTACAAACAAGGTAAAAAACTTTTTCCTTAAAGAGGTCTGGTCAAGGTGATTCAAATATTACTGTTATTATGTGTTTAAGACAATTAAACTTTTATGGAATGCGGGTTTTTGTTTATTTTCAAAGTCGGGCTTGAAATTTATTCAAAATGTTTTAATTGGTTTCGCTGTTCCGCAAGCTCTGAAACACGTAATCGATTTTCTAAGTGGAATAATTGTTTTGTTTTAATTTGACGAAGCGAAAATTGGTGCTTGTTAATGAAAATATGTTTAAAAAAAAAAATAAATTGTTTAACATTTTACAATTTAACTTTAGAGTGGCAAAATTGAATGCTTTGTAATCTTGCAAACGTTTTACGCTTACCGGAAAATTCGTAAATAGTTAATCAAAATTTATCCATTCATATGATGTCATCTTGCAATTTTGACCAACAAAGTCCTGAACTTGTGGTTTATGAATTCGTGTTGATATTCTCGCCATCGAGATTATTGAAAAACAATTTTTTTTTCGAATTATCGATTTTTCGATTCCTCCATTTTTTCGATAATTCAATTTTAAGATTTTTCAGTTTTTCTACTTTTCATGTGTCGATTTTTTTATTTTTCGATTGTTCAATTTCACAATTTTTAAATTTTTTCATTTCAATTTTTGACGTTTCTAAATTTTCGATTTTACGTTTCTCAATTTTTCGATTGATCGATTTTTCATTTTTCAACTTTTCGATTTCTCAATTTTTCGATTCTCCGTTTTTTTTTTATTTACCCGTTACTCGATTTCTCGACTCTACGGTGATTCGATTTCTCGATTTATGGATTCTTCAATTTTTCAGTTTTTCGACTTCAATTTTTCTGTTTTTCGATTTTTAAAATTTTTGGTTTTTCAATTTTACAAATTTTCGATATTTTTTTATAAATTTTAATGTCCCAATTTTCAGTTCTTCGAATAAATTTTCCAGTTTTTCAACTTTTTATTTTTATTTTGGATCTTTCTATACCTGGATTTTTCGTTTTTTTGTTTCTAGTCTCTGATGTTTCAATTTTTCGATTTTTTAAATTTTACTTTTTTCGATTTTTCAAATTTTCCATTTTTTAGTATTTCAGTTCTTCAATTTTTCTTTTGATTTTTTAAGTTTTGGATTTTTCTATTTCTGGATATTTCATTTTTTTATTTTTCTGTTTTCCGATTTTTAAATTTTTCGATATTTTAAATTTTACATTTTCGATTTTTCAATGTTTCAATTTTTGACGTTTCTAAATTTTCGACTTTTCCATTTCCCAATTACTCGATTTTCTTATTTTTCCGATTCTCGATTCCGGACTTTTCAATGTTTCAATTCCTCGACTCCTCGATTTCTCGATTTTTTTTGATTGTTTTGATTTTCAATTTTTGGATTTTTCGACTTTTCGATTTTTAAATTTTAGATTTATAAGCTTTTCGATTTTTTTGACATTTGGATTTCTCGATTTTCCAATTTTTCGATTTTTCAGTTTTGGGGTTTTTCAATTTTTCGATTCTTCATACTCCCGATTCTCCAAATTCTCGATTTCTCGATTCTTTATTTTTAGATTTCTCAATTTTCCATTATTTAAATTTTTCAATTCTTCAAAATCGAAAATTGAAACACTTTTTTGACATTTCTAATTTTTCTATTTCTCGATTTTTCGGTATCTAGACTTTCCAATTTTTAATTTTTCCATTTTTCGATTTCTCAATTTTTCAAAGTGACAATTTCTCGACTTCTCGATTTTTTTGTTTTTCAATTTTTCGATTTTTTAAATTTGCAATTTTTTGATTTCTTGATGTTTAAGTTCTGAGATTTTTCAATTTTTCGATTTTTCATTTTTCGATTCTTCGTTATCCCGATTCTCCAACTTTTCGATTTCTCGATTTTTATTTTTAGATTTCTCAATTTTTCGAAATCAATAATTTAGAAGCGTCAAAAATTGAAACATTTTTTTGACATTTCTAAATTTTCGATTTTTGCCAATTTCTCGACTTACCGATTTTTCAGTTTTTCAATTCCTCAATTTTTCGATTTTTTTAAATTTTCGATGTTTTGATTTCCCGATTTTTCACTTTTTCGATTTCTCAATCGTTCGTTGTTTCAGTTTTGGAAATTTTCAATATTTCGATTCTTCGGTTTTTCGGTTTTTAAATTTTTCAATTTTTCGATTTATCAATTTTTTAAATTTTGGATTTTTCGGTTTCTCGATTTCCTATTTTTTAAATTTTTCAATACATATTTTAATTTTTCAATTTTTCGATATTTTAAAATTTCGATTTTTAGATTATTTTGATGTTTCGATTTCCGACTTTTTAATTTTTCAATTCTTCAATTTTTTGAACTCAATGTTTCAAATTTTTAAATTTTCGTTTTTTCAGTTTTCTGATGTTACGATGTCCCGAACTTTTTATTTTTCGACTTCTCGGTTTTTCAATTATTCCATTTTTTGATTTTTCAGTGTTTTGATTTTGCAAACTGTCGATTTTTCCACTTTTCGATTTCTTTCTTGATTTTTCACTTTATCGACTTCTCGGTGTTTTAGTTTTGAGATTTTTCAGTATTTCGATTATTCAATTTTTCGATTTTAAAAAATACATAATAAATTTTAGATTTTCCAAATTTTCGATTTTTTTTGATCGTTTGATTCCTCGATTTTTCAATTTTTCAATACATATTTCAGTTTTGGGATTTTTAAATTTTTCCATTCTCCATTCATGCGATTATCCAAATTTTCAATTTCTCGATTCTGTATTATTAGATTTCTCAATTTTACAATTTTTCAATTATTCCATTTTTATATTCTTCGATTTTTCAATTTCTCATTTTCGCGATTAAACGATTTTTTGATTTTTCCGTTTCTCGATTTCCCGATTTTTCAATGTTTCGATTTCTCGGCTCCTTGATTTTTCAATTCTTAATTTTTAGATTTTTGGTTCCAGCCTTTGATTTTTCAATTTCTGACTATTTTTAACTTTCGAGTTTTGATTTCTCATTTTTCAATATTTCGATTCTTCAGTTTTTCGATTTTTCGACTTTTCGATTTCATACTTTTTCGAATTTTCAATTTTAGATTTTTCAATTTTTTAAATTTTCAGTTCTTCGGTTTTTAAATTTTTCGATATTTTAACTTTTCAATTCACCGATTTTTCAATTTTTCGATTTATCAGTTTTAGAAATTTTGGATTTTTCAATTTTTTGACAGTTCGATCTCTCGATTTCTCAGTTTTTGGATATTTTTGTTTTAGGTCTTCTCCATATTCCGTTTTCTCGATTTTTTCATTTTAGATTTTTCAATTTTTCGATTTTGAATTTTTAGATGTTTCAATTTTTCAATTTAAATTTTTTTGATATTTCGATTTCCAATTTTTCATTTTTCGATTTTTCAGGATTTTGATTTTTCAGTTTTTCGATTTCTTGATTTTTCACTTTATCGACTTTTCGATGTTCCGTTTTGAGATTTTTCAATATTTCGATCTTTCAATTTTTCGATTTTTTGATGGTTTAATGTCTCGATTTTTCAATTTTTCGATATTTTAGTTTTGGAATTTTTCAATTTTTCGATTCTCCAAGTTTTTGATTTCTCGATTCTTTATTATTAGTTTTCTCAATTTCAATTTTTCGATTTTTCGAAATGGAAAATTTAGAAACGTCAAAAATTGATTTTTCAATTTTTCGATTTGCTGTTTTTGTAATTTTTCAGATTTTTGATCTTTTTATTTTTCCATTCTTTAAATTTTCGATTTTTCAAATTTTCGACGTCCCGATTTCTCAGTTTTTCAATATTTCAATTTTTGACGTTTCTAAATTGTCGATTTTCCCATTTCTCAATTTCTCGATTTTTTGATTTTTCATTTAGGATTTTTTGAGTTCCCGATTCTCAATTTCTCGATTTTTCAAAGTTTCAATATCTCGACTTCTCGATTTCTCATTTTTTCGACTTTTCAATTTTTCTAAACTTCAAGTATTCCATTTTTCAGGTTTTTAATTTTTCAAAATTTCGATTTTTTTAAATTTCCGATTTTTCGACTTCTTGACTCCTTGATTTTTTGACTTTCCGCTTTTTTGATTTATACGATTTTTCAATGTTTCAATTTCTCGACCACCCGATTTCCCGAATTTTTTGATTTTTCAGAGTTCTGATCTTTCAATTTTTCGACTTTTCAATTTCTTAATTTTTCACTTTATCGATTTCTTGTTGTGTCAGTTTTGAGACTTTTCAATATTTTGATTCTTCAATTTTTCGATTTTTAAATTTTGGGTTTTTAAGTTTTTCGATGTTTTTGACATTTGGATTTCTCGATTTTCCAATTTTTCGATATTTCAGTTTTGAGATTTTAAAATTTTTCAATTCTAAAAATCGAAAATTCAGACACTTTTTTGACATTTCTAATTTTTCTATTTCTCGATTTTTCGATATCTCCAATTTAAAATTTTCGATTTTTCCGTTTCTCGATTTCTCGATTTTTCAAAGTTTCGATTTCTCGACTTCTCGATTTTTTTGTTTTCAATTTTTTGATTTCTTGATGTGTAAGTTCTGAGATTTTTCAATTTTTCGATTCTTCGTTGTCCCGATTCTCCAACTTTTCGATTTCTCGATTTTTTAATTTTTAAATTTTCGATTTTTTCGAAATAGAGAATTTAGAAACGTCAAAAAGTGAAACATTTTTTGACATTTCTAAATTTTCTATTTTTCGATTTCTCAATTTCTCGATGAATCGATTTTTGATTTTCCGAATGTTCGATACTTCTTGATATTTCGACTTTCAAAATTTTTTATTTTCCGTTTTCTCGATTGTTTAGATTTCTTGATTTTTCACTTTTTAGCCATCTTACTTTTTCCTTGTTTCGGTTTTCCCATTTTTCGACTTTTCGA